CCATCCAGCAGTTCAGCTCTGGTGCTTTACTGAGAAGGGTTTGGATGACCAATGGCTCAGGCAAGGAGGGTAGTGTGCAGGCTGCAGCCAGCCCTTCCCGAGTGCTGTGGCAGATAGGCTGTGCAAGTAGTGATTCCCTCCTGGGGCAGAGGAGAAGGAGAGAGAGAGCAAGCAGGCCAGACCTTTCTTTCAGAGGTCACAATGCTAAAATATTATCAATTAATACTGAGACTGCACACATTTCTACCATGAGACCACTGAAGTCACGTTTGGAGGTCAACACAGGAAGGACAAAATCTTAAAACCTTATCAGAATATAGAGCATTGCATCCTGCTCTCCACCTGTACTCACAACACCTGTCAGTGGATATTGCACAGGCAAAGTGTGCAGTGTCTGTTTATGCATTTACTTCCCCTGCCTGTGCTGGTGACAACCACCATCCTCTGCTTCTCTAAGTTGCTCCTTCCCCGCCCCAGCAGCATCACTTACTGCCACACAAACCTTTTAAGTCTGCATCTCATCCAATCTCGTCATCTGCATCTTCAAGGTTTCACCTGACATCCAACTTCCCTATCTCTTCTCTCAGTGCACTGCCTCCCCATCACCCTACTTTAAAGCCTGTTCTTAAGCACTCTTCTTTCCTTGTCACTTAACAGCAGCTTTACAAGTCTGATGATTTACTCTTTTCATACCCATAACTATTACTTTTTCATGCCACCCCTGTGTGCTAGAAATTCTCTCCTGTTTCTTCTGAGATACACACCCTCCCTTAGGTTCTTCTACCTCTTTCCTTAAAAGCCATTTATTCAATACCAGTTTCCAGTTATACCATCCACACTGGTGTGTCTTCATCTGAATGCCACTGGCCAGAGAGGACCTAAATTAAACTGTCTGGGCACAGTATTGACTCCCACTTTTGCTCAAGTCTAGATGGCTGTGAAATGGATATCTCATTTGACAACTTGCTTAGCTAAGACATGGATTACATTATCTTTGTGTCAATGCCCTGTTACTGCAGGAAGTTGCCACAAATTTGGGAGTGTTCTTGCAGCAGCCAGTTTTTGGCTGTATGATATTCAGTTTTTATTTATAAGCATTCCCAGTAGTTGAGACAAAGGAATCTTTTTTTCTTGTTGTTGTTCTTAAAACATTGATATTAAAGTTCTCCAAAACCAGAAAAACTCAAATGTTAGCCAGTAATACAAGTTTATGAGCTTGTTTCTAGTTCAACGTATACCATAACTGAAAATGATGCTGATTATAGGGAAGTCCCAGTCTGGTGCTAAGTTATCATGGTGACAGAATATTATCTTTTCTCCTGCTTACCCTGTTAATGGTAGACTAGAATGCTTTGGCTGTGGAGTCAGAAGATTGAAGTCCACAAGGTACTTTTTCTGCAGAGAACCTTCTTTTTCAGAACTCAGTCTTTACTTTGGCTACCAAAACTTAAGCCTCTTTGCCTTCAGGATCAGTTTAAGGCACATACTTGTTTTGGTGAAAGGCTGACTTATTTTCATTTGCCAGATATTATGCTTCTGCAACCCATTTATTGACATGCCACGAAAGCTCAAAGGTGTTTGTGTTCTGGCTAAAGTTACATGTCATAAAGTGTAACAGCTCATTCTAACATAAGAAGTGGTGTGTTACCATTTTCGTTGAATGTGACCTATGTTGTTTTCTATTTTTTTCATTTCATATGCATTAGCAGAGATAAAGTATGAGTTTTGATTCATCTGCCTGCCTTTCAGAAGTAGGCTGGAGTTGATCACTTGCCCTGCATTCAGGTAGTCCACAACCTTCCTTACAGTCATCTCTTGTTTCTCCCTAGTGTGGACGGTAGAGGCAGCTGAATCTAATAGCCCTCTGAAGGCAACGCTGTTTCAGACGTGTAGTGTGCTTTTCATGCTATCCATGTTATGGGCTTTCACTGGTTAAATTACAGTGAATATGGAGGAGCAATTTGCAGACCATGAGCAGATGTTTGCTGTTGCTAGTTTTATGACTCTTGCAGAACAGCAGGAACAGACTATGTGCAAAACATTTTTTTGTGATTTTGCCATCTCATACTGTTCTCACAGCACTGGCTCAGTAATGATACGATAAAGCTTGGGAGGTAAGCTTTGATTGCAGACTAGCTGCTGTTGGGGCCTTCAGAAAGCCAGATCTGTAAAGTGTAGTTTGTTTTCAAAAGCCTGTGGCTGAGCCAGATGGGTTAGCTGGAAATAAGTCATTTATCATATAATCAAATGCTTGACCTCTTACTCAGGTGGTTGTTGTGACATAGATGCTGAATGTTTAAACTGTCTCACAGCTTGTTTTATTCAGATGTAAGCTGTGATAGCTTTGTGTGAAATGCTAATTTGGGATTAAATTATCATGTTATCATGATTTATTTTATTTTTGTAACATCTTTGCGCAGAGGAGAAAACGATCACAAAACACTTTTATGTAAAAAGTCCTAGAATCTGTAAATTTAAAATATTTTCTCCAAATGATCACTTATTTTAAACATGACACAAGTTTGGATAGGTAGTGTACGAATGTGGTCGCTTACCATCCTGTATCGAGTTAACAAGCTGGTTGAAATCATTCTGTAGTCAAATTCATGTTGTGGGCAGAGGAAGAGAGACCTTTAATACAGCCTTGCTCTGTGATCTGAACAGAAATTAATTAGCATGGACACAGACGGCCTAGGGACGGAGCAAGGCTGAGTTTGTGATAGCACTGGCTTTACTCTTAGTAATATAGCCACCTACAGAGTCTGCACTGCTCTCTTCCCTCTATCTGTTACCAATCAATATGTAGCTTATAGGAGTTATCTAATCATACATGCACTATCTGTCACTGTAGGCAGAACAACAACTATGATAAAAGACTACTCTTAATACTGGAAAGTGTGAACATGCAAAACACTTGAACTATCAGAACTGAGAGTGTTTGCACAGTACTAATTCAGCCCCTCTGTGCCTATGCATTCAAATCTGTTATAACACTGTGCTTCGTTTTGCAACCTTAAACTATTATTTGGGCATAGATATTAGGATACAGTTTTCCTTATTTTTTTTTCTTTTTAAAGAGCGAAGAGGAGGGTTTAAAAAAATGTTAAAAAAAAACCAAAAAAAACCAAACACCAACAAAACAAACGACAAACAAACCAACCCCCCATTTAAATTATATTTTTCTCTAGGTAAAGCAGTTGTGGAGGGAATGAGTTGTGCAGTTTTCCATCCATCCCAGATAGATGGTGCAGTCATGAAGTGGATAAAAGCGAGAACGAAGGGTCCTAGTGCAGCCTGTGAGGGAGAATAAGATCTGCTACACATGGGTTCTTCTGCATTTTCTCCCTGCTGGCTTTGTGCTAATCTGCTCCCTTTCTCTCCTAATTTCATTTGCTTGCACAGTCCAGCAAGATGGAAAAATTTGAGACAGACACTTAAGGGTGAGAAACTGGGAGCTGGGAGAAGACTGCGAGCAGGGAGAAGGGAAGTTAAGGCAAATGAAGGAGGAAAACAGAGATTTTGATATTTAAGCTGTTAAAGTCTGAACTATATGGCAAGTGACTGGAAAGAGGGAGAAAATACTATGTGACTGTCACAGGTGACACTACAAAAATCTATTAGTAATAAATATTACTTCCTTGTCTACCGTATGACCAGAAAACAAGCTTGAAAGAATAAAGTTCAAAAACTGATTTGGTCAACTGATAAAATTCAAAAACATCTATTACATTATATAATTCAGCTCATGCAAGATTGCTTCCAATAATGTGGTTTCCTCTGCATTATCAAATCTAGTTCCCAAGCAATTGAAATTAGAACCCCTGAATACACCAATTTCAATTTTTCCGCATCTCAGAAATTCTAGGCATTTCTCTACTGCACTTTAAATATTCTCTTTTTCAATTCTACTAATTTATAGCTTTTTTAATTGTTCAGCAGTTGCTGTCTATGCAGGTTCTTAGAGTCCTTTGAATTATATACATGCTATTACCACATCTGCACCAGACACTTAATTGTAGCAAGGCTAACGTATGCATCTCTTAACTCTTTCAGACAAGTGTCTGAAGTCAAAGACTTTATTTCATTTTAGGAAGAAATCAGTACGTTCTGTAAGAACAGGTCCAGAGGATATTGATGCTTGCCATGGCTTAAATTCAGTCTGCCTTCCACTAATTTGTGATTTTTCTTCCCATTTTCATGGAAATCTTTATTCTTCAGTCTTTAAAATTAACAAAATTAATGCAATCCAGTTGCAATAGGAGTCAGCTTAGTGATGTGCTTTGTTGTCCTATAACACGTATATCCCAGGTAACACTGCACAAAAACTTAAGGTAGGTTGCCTGTGCTGAGTGCCCAGTCTGTTCCTTCTGTTACCAACTGCAGTCAGAGGTATGTCTCATGGCTCACTGCTGCCTTGTGCACAGCCCTGCCTATGACATCTGAAGCTGCTCAGCTTCTGTCTATGAAAAAGTTTTCTTCTTTTTCCACAGTACCACAACCATTCTTAGAGAGAGTGTTTACCTCTCTCTCTACTTTTTCCTTTGCAAGGGACTTAGTTCTGACTCAGCTTGTTGCAGCAGTAATGCTCTTGAATCTGCAGATTCCTTACTATTTCCAGAAGCAGAGATTCAAGGATGGTTAGTATGGGAAAAGCCATATTAGTATAATTTCTGCTATTCTTGTTTTGGGTAAAAATAATATCCCATTTTCAGGAGCATTTAATAAATATCTATTATTATTAATTTTCATATCAATGGCCTAGTTCTGCTTTCCTAGAATGTAATCAGTAGTAAATATTCTACATGTTTAACAGATAAAGATTTCTGCAGTGCCCTGTTTATTCAGCTGAAAATAGCAACTTTGTGGATGAATAATTTATGATAGATTTTTATTCCAGTTCTCATAATGTTAACCAGATGTTTGAAGAAAGACTGACTCTGTAGTGTGATGTAAGAGTTACTCCCAGAGTGATGCCACCAAACTTCATGTTTGCTTTACAGGTTGATGACCAAATGAAGTTGCTTCAGAACTGCTGGAGTGAACTCTTAATTCTAGATCACATTTATCGGCAAGTGGTACATGGGAAAGAAGGCTCCATCCTTCTGGTTACTGGGCAACAAGTGAGTATGTGGGCTCAGAGTATTGATAGCTTTTTAATAATTGTTTTCAAAATAGCAGGAGTTTAACTAGGTCAGAAGTACTCCTAGGTTCTCAGAGACTGTCCACAAATAGTGTAGATAAAATGGCTTGTGCACTCTGTTCCTAGTCTGCTGATTACAGTTAAACTTATAAAAGCAGACTTAATCATAAGCACTTTGCTTTTCAAATATACTTGTATACTTCAGTGATTGAGAACTAGCAGATGAGAAGCATTTCTCAAGAAGTTGTATTTCCTTGGAGCTAAAATGGTTTCTGACAGCAGCAACAAAACTCCCGAGCCCAATACTTTAGGTCTAAGCAATTATAGCTTATTTTCCCTTCAGAATTGTGGTTTACTCAAAAGAATCAGTAGCTGAGTCAGAAAACTAGAGAACCTGCAGCTACTACCTTGGAAATACCTTGCTTTTAGAGAAATATGCACATGTGTGAGAATATTCTTCCATCCATAGACTATAAAAGCAGGTATCACCTCAGGAGCTGTCTCAGGGCATTCACCATGCAGTTTTTGGCACAGCTTTCCAAGGGTTAATTTTCTTCAGGTATCAGATGCATGGATTTCCCAAAATGCAAGAGCAATAATATGGCAAATATTATGAAAACTGTGAGAAAACTTAAGGAAAGTAGGAAGTTTTGTCTCCCTTATATTTTCCAAAGCTCAAAGAACTTGACAGTAAAATACGAACCTTATTCCTAAGATTCTTATTCCCACTTTAACAGAAAAATATATATATATATATATAAAAAAGATCACAGTATCAAAGAGATCCAAAATGTGCCTGTACCTTATGTTCCTGATTCAAAGCGAAAAGAAATGGTGGCCCGTTGGTATTGAAGTAGCTGCAAACTGAACTGCCTCAATTTAGTAACACATGGGAAAGAGCTCCTTTTTCTAAGATACATCAGCTGTGCCTGCATGTTATGGAATCTGCATATACCTTTAATTATAATTTTAAAACTGTGGCCACTTCTTGACACTAAGAACAAGTATTTATAAGAATCAGGAGAAATAACTGTTTGCATTTATGATTGAAAGGTGTGGAGTAGAAAGGAGAAATTATTGACTTCTCAAAAAAAAGGAGTGGGAAAGTTAAAATTCTAGCTCTGGCACTGATTCCTGCACCTTTATGGAACGTCACTAACCTATATGAGATAAAGTTGTACTCCCTAAATACATGAGCAAAACTTAGTTGCATTACTCTTTATTTATATTGGTGCTATTGAGAAAATTACTGATATGCTTTCCATTGTATCATCTGCAAAATACGGACAATTGTACCAGCAATTATTTTATTTACCACATAGGGTGCTTGCTTATTCCTTTGTTTATAAAGCTGTAAGTATATTGACAGGTTTCTGTTCCCAAGAGAACTGCTAAATTAATGTCTCATTTGCTATGTGATTAGCTAGTTTTAAAAGTGCCTAAATCCCATTGAAATTATTAGAGACATCTAAATACCCTTAATTTCTAGCCATTGTCCCCATTTTTCTGCAGTAATAATTGTTACCTCATTAGCCACGTTTTATCTTTTCTTGCAAAAAAACCCCAAAAAATACAAACCACCAAAAACCCAGCTGCAGATGATCTCAAGGCAAAGCAGAGCATTTCATCACTGTTGGACAACAGGTAGCAGGATGCTTATTAAATGTACTGCTCACAAACCATCAGCTGGTTTGGGAAGCTGTGTATTTCCAGACAGAATTAAAGTCTCCAAGTAAATGGAAACCTGGCTATATTAGGCTGACTGCATCCATTTTTGGCCCAGGCTTGTCAAATGGGTTTAATAAATCCTTCATTCAAATGTATTTTGCTTTCTTATGCCAAAATTTATAATTTTTAAGTCAGTGCAAGCACCCCCAGAGTCTCCCATCAGCTTCTGTACATTCCTCTTTGCACTTGGAGGGCAAGGAGCAATTTACAAGGACAGCAAACAGAAACACTAGTTAGTCCCTTTCCTTATGGATGGAACCCTTCACCTTTCACACTTGCTAACAGCTGGGGAACGTACTCCCATGTATGCACCACAGTTTCTCCTGGAAAAATAAGGAGGCACCAGACCTGAAGTAAATATGCAGGCTGTTGTTTTTGAATCTGGAAAGAGTCTGAAACCTATCCAAAATGCCACTGTATTGTCCTGATTTCATTCAGCTCTGGTTGCTGTCATCCTAGATTAAAAGCCAGAGTGCTTACAGGAGCAGGCACAGCTGCATGGACTGTGCCTGCTCTTGCTGGGCTGAGCATGGCACGTGTGGCGACAGGAAGACCACTGGTAGTTGAGGTACTGTAGTCATGCCACTGCTGTGCCAGTACATGAGTTGTATGCAATTCATCACTCAAAAGCATTTACTTTAAAACATCATCTGTTTAAATAATTTTCATGGGTGAAGATCATTAATTGGAAGAACCTCTTTTATTTAGATCGACAGGACTCGGTGAGCTAAACAGAAGGTTTAAAATATCCAGAATTACCAGAGCCTCAAATCTTAAAATCACAGATTAACCCAAGCTGGAAGGGATCTTAAGGAGTTTCTTATCCAACTCTCTGCTTAAACAAGGTTCTTCAGGGCTTTGTCTAGTTAAGCTTTGAAAACCCCCAAGGATGGAAACTGCCAGTGCCCCTGCCTGATCATCTTCATGGGGAGAAAGTTTTTCCTTAGTTCTGGTCTTTTTTAACTCATACCTCACGCTGGTCACTCCCCTCCTTGAGCCCTGCTGCAAAAGCACAGAGCCTGGAAGACCTTGTTAGCATAGACTGAGGCAAAGGCAGCACTAAGTACCTCAGCCTGGTCTGTTTGCTGCCTCTACATCACAGGCTGAATCCAGCAGCTGTCCCACATTTTTCGTGTTCATCCCCTAACTAGCAATTTGACATCCCTTGCAAGTCTCAACTTTAGCTGAACTCTAACTTTTTAAACATAATTCGTACATATTTGGACAGCATTTCTAAATTACTTGGTAGCCATTCCTGGCTACAGCTGCCATATACTGCCTTTTGGCACTCTAGCTCAGTTGTGAGTTACTTCTTGTAAGAAACAAGGTGATCCAATACAACTGCTTCATTTCCTGTGTCAAGATGGACCATTTTAGCAGCATCAGACTCAGTCTATTGTCATTCTAAGACACAAAGCCAATTCAAATGTGTTTATGAGACTTGCCTCCTCTGTATTAACTGTGAAATAATTCTGGAAATCCACAGTTCTAAACCCAGGCATTACTAGTCTTCGCTATTGCACTAAATGCTGCATACTTCCTGGTTGCTGCCCTGATCCTTTCAGTTCCTCCAGCAGAGACAGGGAAATAGCCAAGCCACCATCTCATAAAAATTAATTGATAAAGGCGTGGAAAGCACTCTTACACTTCTGATGAGAAGTGCAGTAGATGTTTTTATTTACTGCTTCCAGCAAAGCACTATGAGCAGAATTACAGTCTATCATCTGGCTTTTAGAGATAATCACTTTTAACTGAGGACCTGAGCAAGACAGCCTACTTTATTACCTGAGAGATCATGGTTATTGACAGAAGTTAGCAAATTTAATTTTCAGAAGCATCACTCCTTGCTTTCCTTAATATATCCCTTCATAAAAGCTACTCATAAACACAGGCCTTTTTACAATCACAATCAGGGGGAAGCTCTAAGGAGAAACTTACCACCACTTAGGTAGAACACACCTGCCTTCTCCACTTAAGCTGTGCAAAAGTCAAGTTTCATCCAACTCCCCAAGGTCACACCACTCAGTTCTATACCAGGTATCTAAATGGGCTAGTAGTGAGAAGCACACTCTAATTTTCAAATGCATTGATTGGCTCAAACCCCATTACCTTAGGGCATTCCTATCACATTTCCATACATCTGCATTTCCCTCAAGCCATTGTCTTACAGCTTTTACCCGCTGTCAATCCACTGTCCCCACTTCACTGGGAAAAAAGTGCAGTCAGCAGCCAAGTAGCATTGGCCCTTACAGAAAAAGACTATTTTATTTTATTTTGTTACTTATTTGGTTGGATTTTCATAAATTAAGCTTTTCTGTATGTATGTGTTTCAAGAAAGCACTTTTTTCAGATCATTACAATTCCTCAGCTTTTCCTCAGAAACAAGTTCCTCCCTATGCTGCACACTTCATTTTCTGCACTGTGTTGCCCCTCAGCAGTAGCAATTACCATTTCAAAAGGAAATAAAGTAGCAGAAATGCGTTTTACAACTCTCCAAATTTCATAATAGAAAACAGCTAAGGAGTGATTTGCAATGTGGTGGTTAACGGTAAATCATTGCCAATATGCTCTCCATACACCCAGTTTTGTAGACTTGCCACATGGCATGTAATTTTAACACATCATTTCTAATTATAGAACTTCAATTCCTTCAACTTGAGCACTTCCCTTTTGTATCTTCTACACTAGAAATACGCTGCCAGCTTCCAAGATCCAGCACACACAGGGCAGATACTAAAGCTCTGTACAGAATACCATTGTTCATGCATTTTCATGCAGCAGTCAACACACAACACATGAACTGTAGCTCCAGCTGCCCAGACACAAGCTGCTCATTTTGTTTATACCTACACTCATTGTTCCTAGATTTACCCTCAGTTGAGTTTGGTCAAAGCCTTTCAGACTAAAAGGGCCATACAAAAAAAACATGCCAAAGTAGTTATTTCGTTAGAGTCATCACACACACGTATCTTTCCATCTGGATTTTAATTCTAAAGCATAGCAACAGAGAAGAACATGAGAGGTGACCATGATCTTGACAGCATTGTGTTTTGAAGCAAATAAAAACTTAAATTCCATTTAGATCAGAATTCTGTGGCTTGAACCTCTCTGTAGATGGGATACTTTATAGATCTTTCAGCTGTGCCTTATTTGAAGGTGGTGATCTGTGGCTTGGGGATTTTCTGTGGCAATGTCATCTCGATTAGACTTACCCACTTGCAAAGAAAGCTTCTACTATCCCAACATAGATGT